AGAGAGGGAGGGAGCCCAGAAACAACTACAACCAGAGTTTAAGCGTTGTTTTAGAAATCACTGGTTAACATAGATTTATTTACACAGGAAGTGAGTAGAATGTAATTTAAGGTCTGAACACACACACACACACACACACACACACACACACACACACACACACCGCACAAACACATGTGACAGCCTACGGAGATCTCGGGAACCAAAAAAAGCCAGAAATGACCCTGTGAATGGGCCCAGACTTGAGGGGGGAGGGACAGACAAAGGCAGGAAGAGGGAATACAAGAAAAAGTAAGAGGATAGAGGGAGGGAGGAGGGAGAGAGGAGAGGGGGAGGAGGTCATGTTTCCTCTGTTGAGCCCACTTCCTGTCCTGATCCCAAAATGGAGAGACTGTAAGAACGACATCCCTCTGCCTGTTTCACTCTCCCCCCCTCCCTCCCTCCCTCCCTCCCACACACACCACACACACACACACACACACACACACACACACACACATCAGAGAAACCCAAACCAGCCTCCCGCGGTATCCTACAAAGGAGATGAGAGGAAAAAGCAGGGAGCAGAAAAATATATCCCCAGTGGTCTCTGAAACATAAGGAAGCCTTCGTTTATAGAGGCAGAGAGGCGCAGGACATTTTGTCCTCAAGTTGCACCATGTGTGTGCTATGTGTGGCCTTTATATGTGTGTGTGTGTGTGTGTGTGTGTGTGTGTGTGTGTGTGTGTGTGTATCTGTTGTAATTGAGTTTAACTGTTTGCTATGGTCATTACCAAAAAGTCAGCACAGGATAGTTCAATTTAGTGCGCTTGCCTGACACACATTGATTTTGATCAAGCTATTTATTTTGTTCATGAAGTGATTCATTAAATGTTTTATTAATATATATTTATAGCATTATTTTATCATGTAAATGTAGCCAGATTTTACTGAAATCAACTGTATTATTCCCTTAAAAATACTAAAGGCAACTTGCAACATGATAATGTTTTTTTTTTTATTAAGATTATGCTAATGTACTACTGAGTCATTAACTGGAGATAATGTTTTGATGTGGAATGGATCATTGTCTTTGGATTTGTTACACAAAGAATACCAAATATTCAATATCTTATAATATTAAAAACTCCAAAATATGAATTGACCCAACGAAGGCTCAACACCTGTGTCTAGCAGCACATTTGTGGTTTTGTACCTTGCTTTGTACCATCCTTAATCTCCATGATTCTTAATCTCTCTCCACCTGGCTTGTTAATTTCGCCATGTGCCATTGTGATTAGCACAGCTGTTTAAAAGCTACGACGTGAGCCATGAAACCATCACACCCTCCATTTTATAGCTCACTTCATTTCTTTTGTGTTTTTCTGCAGGTATATAAAGAAAAAAGATCATTTTTAGGCATGATTTCACATTACTTAACACTGTGCCAGTGGTGCTAAAATAAGTGTCAAAGTTGGGGGGGTGCATTCAGCGTTGGATGATGCTCTCAGTCTCTAGTTTCTCTAGTCTCCAGTTTCATGAGGCTGTGATTATCCTAGAGGTCACGATAGGTCATTTTATACAGTGAGGTCAAGTTTCAAAAAATGGTCTCTACAGTGAAATGGTTAATGTGGGGATGATCATAACGACACATCAATACAACTCTGTTCACTGAATCCACAAGAGTCACAACGCAGAAATACTCAAACACACAAGGCGGAAATAACACATTTATACTGTATTGAATGGTTTTTACCCAACACTGCATGCGATTAGCATAAAGCAGGGCATGTTTGTGAAGGGAAGACCTATTCAGATATCTTGAGGTGAGAGGGCGAGTGAGACAGAGAAGATTTAGCCAAACTTTGGAGCGTTGTTTAACCCCATTGTTTAGCATGACATGGTTGGATATCTACTAGTTTTATACGATCCTTTCAATAGTATCTTCACTCTAGCTTTAAAACTGAGCCTGCCGCAGCCTCTGAAAGACAATAATGTCGACTGCAGACATATTCATCAGCACACAGCTGAAGAGGCTGCCCCTAAGTCCTTAGTAGCCACCTAATAATTACCCTAGCAACCATTCAGAACACATTAGAAATCACCTGTAAACACACAATGAACCACCACAAACAACACTTCAGCAATCTCACGCCTATAATGTGAGGAGTAATAGGTAATAATATTATATTAGACAACTAGTTGATGAGATATTAGACAGATAAGAAATGTCTGTGTACTAGTCTAGTATACACAGACCTGAGTGCCATCACACACACTCATCTGTATGGCTGTGTGTGTGTGTGTGTGTGTGTGTGTGTGTGTGTGAATGAGTGTGCGTATACGGCTGCATGTGTGTGAGTGAATTTGGTCTCATGACTCTGGTTAAGCTGATGTTTCCCTAAGGCTGTTTTGATTGGACCTACAGTTGAACTCTGATATTTAATAATGAGCCAAGTACTCCCTCAGTTTCTGCCTTTCCGTTCACACACACACACACACACACACACACACACACACACACACACACACACACACACACGCACAAGCACACGCACACACACACCGTTGTACAGCTCACCAAACGACTGAATCATTCACTGAAATATAAACAACTAGTGGTTCATTAACTGATGATTTGGCCATGAGACATCACTGGACTTCGTCCATCACGTCATTAAACCACTTCTGCTTTAGTTCACACTGACAGTGGATTTAACTTTGTGATGTCTGGCATCTTATCTGCACTGCAGGACGTGATTTCTCTTTTGGAGCGCAGCCTTGAGGGCAGATTATTTGTTAATCAGGAGAGATGAGTACAACAGATAAACAAACACACATGGATAGATGATGATAAACAAAATTACACATTTGTGTATACATAATCTTAATATGTCTCTTACAACAATTAAATTGAGCACATGGAACAAATTATTAATCAGTTATACCTTCTGTTATCTCCCCCTCCATACTTGAGTTCTTTACAAGAAAGGTAGTGTGGACCAAGGGAGAGACACGCTATGTGGATGTCTCCATCTGCTGGTAGTAAAAAAGTAATAGAACATTTTAATCTATTATGGTGCTGCACTGATTGTAGGTTTAGTGGTTTAGAGACTGAGCTTTTAAAAATCTTAGACACAGTGTATAATTTTTTGACACATTTCATTCATAAATGCTCAGATATAATACATTCACTCATAAAAAAAAAACATAAAATGGTTAAAAATTTAATTAAATGTATGGTTTACGGTTCTAAAACCACCTAGAAGAAAGACATTTTATTTTTTAGATCAATGTAGAAGCATGAAAAGAGCACAAAGTATAAAGAAAAGGAAATATACTAACCTACCTGGTAACCAATAGGTGATTTCTTTAACTTTTGTCTTCCCAAAGATATAATCTCTCCTCTGATATGTTTTCTGGATAAATATACTCTATGCAGATTGTGCCAAACTTTGTGAAAGTCAGTCATACAACATGATTCAGCATGGCTGCACTCACACTCACATTCAAACCTAAATTTAACATATTTTCCTCTCTGTTCCCGCAGTGAATGTCTGACTTGTCATCATGAGTAAGTCAGACTCTTTTATGATCAAACTGAACAGTCTGATCCGCTATTGTTCAACATGAATTAGTGGGTTTTGAGTGAATGCATATGTTATAATTGTTCATAAATGTCTAGACTGTACCATCAGAGCAACACTCAGAAAAGGTCTGTTTTTATATATAGCTTCTTAAACCTGGAGACTTCTGTCAAGGCTGTTGCTTTATGGTGTGAAAAACACGATCCATTTCAAATGTCAAGTCTCATGTAGCGTAATTAATGTCTCCGAATGCATCATTACTAATGCATCATTTACTCTGTAAATTACATGCAAACACCATTGTTATTCTTTTAGTTGTCTATCAGCACTAACAGCACGATGTTTTCCTCTCCACTTGGTTTAAGAAATTAAAATAACCAGCTACAATTACTCTAATTGCTTGAAGAGGTGAAGCAACTATACCACACATCTCTGACTTATTTTTAATTTATCTTTTCTTTTTTTAATTCCATGCGGTTACCGTTGATCACTGCAAGATATGAGTTAAGGCCCAAGATATCTGAATTTTCTGTTCTTGGTGAAGTGTTTTATGCATCTTTCTCAGTGATTTCAGCTGAAGTAAACTGAGGAGGACAAAAATGTTATCCTTCAAAGAGACCAACAGCCACGTCTAAATTAAACCTCCAAGACTTCTTGTTGTCTGAACTGTACAAAACATTATATCTATGTCAGGGTGGCTGTAATTATTACGAGAAAGTGAAGACATTTTATCTGATGGGAGAAAAAGTAAATCTGAACAATTCATCTATTATCTAACATACAGTTTATATCATCCCTCAACAAAATCCCAGAGTTTAAATGTTGCACGTTGATTTTAAACTTTTTTCTGATGCGTTTAATGTTAATTTTATGTAATAAATATTTAATGTAATATTAAAATATTATCATTTTAAAAAGATCCATTAGACAGGCAAATATTTAAAATGTTCTGTTTCGGATGATTTTATTCAGCTTGTTTTGTATTTTCTACATTAGCAGCTTCCCTACAAAGCCAATTTTACACTAAGTTTTAAAGCCTTTGATGAAATATTCTTGATTAAATAAGCAACAATTAAAGTTAAAATCAGTTATTATTAATATGCAACACTAAAAAGGCTCAGCTAATCTGACCATGACTGTGTAGTTTGATCAGATTTAAACAGCAGCGTGGCAACCTCAGCAAACAACCCTCGCTGGTGCAGAGTTCACAACATCATGGTTTTCCAGCTGAGCCCAGTAAGATGAGCTCAGACAAATACAGAAATCTCTCATGTGAAATATTCAAAACTGGTCGAAAATTGTGTTTGTGTGCTGTACGACCCCGTCGCTCAAAGGAAGAAGACGATTGAGGAAATATGTTTTCAAAGGCCATTAAACTTAAACTTATAAATCCTTTTCTCTGTCTGTGTTAACAAACTGATGACGACACTTAAGTTACTTCATTCTTTGGCACACCCAAAGCGTCAATTTTATTCACTCATTTAAGAAAAAAGTACAAAAGTTTGATTCTTCATCATTCATTCTACTGCAGACCAATAAACAAAATTTCGTCCAGTAGGTACAGGAAGAGCTTTCACATGGCTCCGGGTGACATTTTGTGAGGCTGGAAAAAGCTCAAAGCGATGCCTTCATTCAGCAGTGGTAGAAATAAAACTACAATTCTGTTCAAAATTGAGTCAAAAAAAGAAAATCTCTATACATTTTTTAAAAATTGTCAGTGTAGTTGACATTGTTGCATTATTTCTTGCACACATTTTCACATCATATGCACATTTCAACAGTGCCAATGATATTTCCCTATTACGCTCCATGCACTGCCTTTAGTTTAAAAAAACAAGGCTCAGTACATTCTTTAGTCAGTGTAACTACATTCAGCAATACAGTAATGGACACACATACATCAAATACATAAAAACAAACAGCAAAGTAACTATTGTGGAGTCTTTGGCACATTCTTTGTTTGTGGACAGATTTAATCCAGACTCCACAGCTATTATAGGTGAACATCACCTTCTACGATAAACTCATTTGACTCCCTAAAATCCAATATGGTTCCATTTGTTAAAAGGCTGCAATGGCTCAATTTCCAAATTATTATTACAACTGCAAGTTTAAAACTTGTTGCTACAACTGGAGTGCAAGACCTGAGCACACTGTTTTTAATTTAATTTAAAATGTCTTGACATTTTCCTGTAATTCTAAAGTAAGATTATATATCATTATATAAGTTTCAGACAAACTTATTTTTAAAATGATGGGCTTCATACTGGAGACCTTTGTTGGATGTAATTTCCCCTCACTCTCCTCTTGTTTACTGTCTGTCTCTATACTATTAACTATCTTGTAAAGGCAAAAATGCGCCGAAAATATTCTAAAAAAATACCTTTAAAATAATTCCTTCTGTCACCGTGGTTATGTTTCCAGTCTGTTTGTTTGTTAGCAGGATATCTCTAAAGTTGTAAACATATTTCAGTGAAATCAGGTGGAATGGGCCAAGGAACAAGTTACTGGTTTTAAAGCCATTCTTGGCCATTATGGAACTTTCTTCTTTTATTCCAATAAACTATTGCACTTGAGAGAAAACAGGTGTGCTTCTCCTATACTAAGTTTTAATTGGTTGCTCTGACTCAAATTAAAAAAAAAATAAGGACTGCAATGTAGAATAAGGATGAAGGAATCTCCACACATCCGCCAACCTAAAGCTCAAACCAATGCTTCAACAGACAGGATCTGGAATGAGGAAACCTGGAGCGCCTTATTAAAAAGTTCTTTCTTTAACGGCGTTCTTCAGATCTCCCCATTCAAGCACTGCAATCTGTTTGTTTTCCCAAAACAAAATCAGGTGGCACTCGGGTGGCGTTTTCTCCTGAATTTGTTTGGGGGGGAAACACATTGCTGAACCACTGCGCTCTTCATCATGTATATTTGATGAAGAGCGCACATTAGTTACTCATTAGGATATAGTTTAAGAACATTTTCAAAAAAACGTGATCAATAGCTGCAGAAAAATAAAATGAATCAAAAAAAAAAAAAAAACAACTCAAGGCATATAAAAACTTTTCATAGCACTGTAACTTCCCCCCAAAATAAACAAAAAACTGTCTGGGCTTTACAAAAGCAATAACGGGGCACTGTCAGGGATTTCATTAGCTCACAAAAAGTACACCAGTGTATGTGTGTGTATATGTCTGTATCATGTGGATGCTATTTAGCATTGGGGGGCAGATAGTAGGGGTGAAACAGTCTCTCATGGCTGCAGATGTGCAGGGCATTGTGTGTGTGCATCAGTAACCGTGGAAACCTTGAGGTGAAGTAGCTGACGAAGCCTTCGGGCAGCTCTCCAAGAGTCTCCTGCACCTCCGGTGGCAACTCGTGGTAGTGATGCTTCTGTAACGTGATGTTAACATGCAAAGTGTCAAAAAAAACTGACTGATGTGTCAAAGTGTGTCTACTTGTATAAGTGTAGAAGTAAGCATGCACGCTGACCTTATTTCTCATGGCTCTCAGCAGATCTCTGACTGAGTTTCCTTTATATGTCCTGAACCGCCTCAAGTCTGAAATGTAAACAAGAAAATATAAAAAATATAGATTAAACTAAAATAATAACCCTGCAACAAAGATTTCACGCCAGCCTGCTCAGATAGAGGATTTCAGACATTGGGAGATAGGGGCATTTATTTGATAAAGGAATGATGCAATGATACTCACATTTGAACAAATCCTAGAAATTACTTTTTCAAATTCGTAGCTTTATTCAGAATCAAAGCAGCTGCATCTTTGACTGTCAAACCTCACAGATCTGCTCCTTGGTGGAGGCAAGAAATCCGTTCTCTGAGTTTAAAATATCTTTGACGCACTTGGTATAATGATAATAATTTAATTTTACACCAACAACATCGCTTGAAATATGGCAATTTGTGAGGGAGATCTCAATATGTAATAGTGCCTGAGAGACTCAGTTCAGGATTCTGCATCGTTTACAGATTAATTGTCAGTAAACTAAATCTGATTTTAAATGTCCGACTTGGTGCTGAACCTCAGGTTTTGCCTCTTGGTTTGCAGAGTATTCGTTAATATTAAAGGCTCTCATCAAAGAAGGCTGTTCAATGTTTTTTACATTTGCTGCCCAGAAAAATATATTACTCAGATGGATTGATATTTGAGCTAATATCAATGGAATACCTAACAGATTATTGAACAGATAACTAATACATATTTAAATGTAAAATGATGATTTATTTTAAGACTTGGACATCCTTCTTTAGATATTCTGGTAAAAGACTTAGAAATATTGTATTGAAAGGAATAGTAGACACTGTGACACTGGCCCATACATTACTGACACTGCTGAGTAGTTTACAGTATGTGACCTCTACCATTGCTTAGGTATGTGACAGATCAAGTTTTCAACGTGTGTGTGTTCATAATAGCAATAGCAGCTTGTTGTTACGGTGATGACGTACAAAGGGCAGAGTTGAGAGGGCAGAGAGGCAGGTAAGAGAGCAGAGAGGGTGCGTCTATATTTTACTATATTTTCTGTTTATCATGTCCTCTCTTCTCTGTCCTTCACCATGACACACACATAATACACGGTTAATCAGCATTCTTACCTATGTTTAATTCGGCGTACCTGTGATCCACTAACAACCACGTATTTTAATGACAAATCTTGTTTTTTCCATCTATTCCCATGGTCTTCCTACTGAAATAGTGAGGCTGGTAACGAGTTGATGCGACAAAGTCGGACAAAAGGTTTGTATTTATGTATTATATTGATGCCGAATTGACCAGAAGACTGTTGAAATATGATGAGTTTTTTTTCTTGTGTTTCTACAGTTATGTGCTTTTATGTAAACGCAAATAATTGTTAATATACGGTATTTCTTAAATGGAGTTTGGCATAATATTATCCTGGGATTATGCAGGAAGCGTCATGGTTTTATTAAAATAGGTAAAGTAACTAAATAAGCAATAACCACAATGATGGGAATAATAAGTATGTAGTTATAATAATAATAATAATTATATCAATAACATGAATAACAATATTTATATTAATAAATAATACATAATTAAGAAAGAAAACTATTCTTAATGTGCAGTCATAGGCAGTGTAGGTTTTTTTAAACTTTTAGAAAAGTGTCCACCAGACCCCTCTACCTGTTAACATACAATGAACGTTGCTGGCGCATCCGTGCGTCTCCCGCCAAAACTATCTGTCTGACAGCTTCAGCAGTAGTATCACTGCGACCCCAACGAATTTACCTACGTTTCTATCTATAAATTATTTCTGTAGAGTGACATTTGTGGCCTTGAGAGCAGTTTACAAATTTATTTTTCGACACATTTTTCTCTCTCCCCACACTCTAGCGATGATGTCACGCACTCTGGCGGTTGAACATTCCACCAATACACACCCATTCATTTTTTGGACCGGTTTTTGGCGATTTATCGGCAAACTGTTTGGCGAAACGCTTAGAAAAGTCGTAGCACTAATGTCCTCACCGAGCCGCACGTTTTGATACCTTTTTTGAGTACGTGCGACCAAAACTGCGGGAGGAGAAGCGCGCCGAAAAACGTACGGAAGAATAATAATAAGTATGAGGGATAGTAGTATTGTGCTTTTCAAGGCACAATAATAAGGATAAGTGGCTAATCTACTTTTTGGGGGTACAAGGTAAAATATTAATTTACTCATTTTATAAATTATTATTATTATTCTCTCAAATATATATTTTTTCTTTTTCATTATTTATTTTACCTTCTTTCTCTCCAAATGTCTTTTTGTTGCCACTGTAATGGGACTGAGCTTTTCCTCATACGTGTGTGCAGAGTATTATGTGTCAATGTATATATAAATAGATGCTATGTGGATTGTTTGACGACATATTGAAGTGAGTGTATATAATGTGCAATGTACATCACATAACACCGATCCAAGGTTTGGTTCTTGTGGCCACTGTGTTGGTGTTAACAGTGCAGTTATGTGACGCTACGTGTGTGTGTGTGTGTGTGTGTATGTATGTGTGTACCTGTCTGTAGGGGCACAGAAATATGCAACCTCCAGTTGGTTCGAACCACAGTTCTTCCTGCAGTCTCCAGTCTGACAACAATCGGACTGTCGGCTGGTTCCTTCTCAATGCGGTCGCTCACATCCTAAGTACAAACACACACACAAACAAAGAGCATTGTTTCTGGAGTCTACAGACATGAGGCCTTGGGCTAAGCAAGAAGGATACAGGAAAAACTACACAATCCAGGTGTACACACACACACACACACACACACACACACACCCCTGCAGGTTTCTTTGTGTATATATTATCAAATGACCATGGAGAAGTGATTCCCACACCTGAAAAAAGAGCAGCTGCTTCTCAGGGCTCCAGAAGAACGGATGTTTGAGCACACAGGCCGTGGAGGGGCGGGACTCTGGCTCAGTGCTGATCATTTGCTCAATCAGATCATGCACTATGACGTCATCTGATTTGAGGGAGAAATAGTTTTCAGGTTTTCATATATTACACTTTTTTTTGCCATCAGCAGATTTTTGTGATTATTACTGTCCAAAATACAGTTTGCGACACTTTTCTGTCTAATTTTGAACTTCCAGCAATGTCTGAAAATTGCAAGCAAACCATAAAGGAACTTATTTGAGGACTGTTTGCGAGGACGATTGTTGAGGTGTGATTCTGTTTAACCTGAGCTGGTTCAGGAACGGAGCATTAAATGCAGGAAAGGGAGCTAGGTGGGTGAATTTACAAGGAAAATTTGAGAATTTTATGCAGAAGTCTCTTCTTCTCTCTCTAGTTTTCTTTCTGCTCCTCTCTTTCATCCAGGCTCCTCTCTTCTGGACCACTACCCGTCCGGAAACCTCTCTTTACAGGCTGCTCGTGCCTCATTCAGACATTTAGATTTGGATAATCGTCCCCCAGGAGAGTTAAGTTTCTCTTTCTCCTTCTTGTCTCTCTCGTTTGCATGTGTGCTCTGTGTTTGTCTGTCTCCCCTATCTGTGTGAATGCTGTACTGTCTCTTCTGTGCTTGTGTTGTCTGTCCTCTTCCAGATCTCTATGGTGGAGAAAAGGTTGTATGTATTGTTTCCTCCTGGATCCAATTTCTTCACATATATTTTATAATCTTCATGTATCGGAAATTGTGTCATCAGAATTAGCAAATAATGTGATTTTGTCAGTTTGTTCTGTAATTGACATCCACTGCAAGTCTGTCTGTCTGTCTATGTTCCTTACCTAAATCAAGGGCCTGAGGGTTTTTAATGTTGTACAGATTGTAAAGCCCCCTGAGGTCAATTGTGATTTATGATTTGGGGCTGAATAAATAAAATCTGACTTGTCTTTTCTTAGTATTGTGGTATTAATCTTCTAAAGTTATGCAGGAATTGACTGAATTAGCTTTAATTCAGGTCCAAATGATAATGAGAAGGCGACAATGCTCTGCACATGATTATGGGTTTGAAATCCTGTTATAGCCTTTATTGCTGTTGTCTGGGTCTAGTATTTGTGTTTGTGTTGTGTACCATTCTTGTTGAGTGTAACACTGAGTGCATAACCTTTTATTATTGAAAATAAAATTACTGAAAGAAAGGATTCAGGGAAGAATCAATCATGGGCACAAAGACCGCTCTCACCGTGTATATCCTCCATAAAATGTGAGAGTGAATATTCTCCTGCCAGGATGTTGACCTGTCGTCTCAATGGATCACCAAAGGGGTGCTGCCCCCTGCTGACCACAAAGTAGAACACACAGCCTGCTGAGAACACGTCCACTGCAGCAGTCTGTAGAGAGAAGAGAAGGAAAACTGGATCAGAGGACCAAAAACTACAAATATGCATACTTCAATGTGTGTATATGTATTTTTGGGACAGAAAATCACAGACCCTTATATACTACATATGAACCTGTTTTATCATCTATAACTGGAATCCATTTTTTCCCACTGTGGCTATTTTAGTTAAAACAAGTTCAAAGACAAGACAATTCTGCTGTATGAATGTTTGTTGTACCGGTTTGTTGCCAGGAGTGTCCCGCAGAACTTCAGGAGCTATCCATCCTTCAGTTCCTGGTATTCCTGACCGTAAAGAGAAGCTGCTCCGACCGTCTGGGATCTTCTTACAGAGTCCAAAGTCAGATATGAGAGCTCGCACCTGACCCAGCGCACTGGGGCCAGAAAGGAGGATGTTTCTGGGCTTCAGGTCACGATGGACTAACAGGAGATGAGAGCGAAGAACACAGTTTTTCATAAAGATGCTTGGGGAGAGAGGAGGATTTCAAATGATATTTGTTTCTGGGGGAATTTAAAACACCATTGTGCATTCACTACACTATATGTGTGTGTATCTCAGACCTATGTTGAGTGAGTGGAGGTGTGAGAGGCCACACATGGTCTGTTCCAGCAGAGTTATAGGATTCAGCCCAGGAAAGCAAGATGGATCCTCCACATACTGCAGAGAATACCGACACAGAAAACACACACAAACATGTTAGTTTGGTCCGATTCAAGGATGGGAAACTGCTTTATAATGATAATAAAATGTCAGCTTACAAGGCCCTACAGTACTGACCTGCTGCAGGGTTGCAGTACACAGCTCGATGGCGATGTAAGTGAAGAGGCGGTCTCTCTCTGTGCAGAAATATCGGATGACATTCGGGTGCGTGTCGGACTCTCGGAGGAGCTGCACCTCACGTTCTGCTAACTCGAAACACTCGGGCAGTATTCGCTTCACCGCCACATGGCGTCCGTCAAATGTACCCCTAAAGACGAGAGAACAAAGCAACATAAAATATTACGCACAGTACTGTATGTGCCTCAGAACAATATAGTTTATCTCATTAATTCAGTGATTTGTTTGGTTTAGCCCATTAACTCAAAGCTGTGTATACTTTATTTTAGTATTGTCGGCCATTTGGCAAATCAATAATGGCTGAATTTATAGCTGTTTTGGTTTCAGGGTCCTGGTGTTGTGCATGTTGGCTCACTGTCACATTGTCATGACTTTACTGAGTCACTTGAATAGAACAGAGCCACTGGTGGACTCGGGGGGCACCTTCTTGGATGCCCCCATGGTAGATTAAACATAATAAAGAGTGCTCTAGAGTGTCTTTCCAGGGGAGAAAACTTGATGAAGTGACCTCTATGGTGCTAAAACACCCCTGCCCCTCAAATAAGTCTGCCACTGAACAGAGCTATTGTTATGGTCTTTAATAATAACTGTGTTTTTTCTTCCTCTGACAAGTCAAAACGTTAATAATTTCTGATCCCAGTGACCATTTAGCCACCTTTATATTTTGTTTAATATTTACATTAATTATATACAGTACACAAAGATTACGTGGCATACTCTTTACAGATGTATGCAGTTTCAAGCAGGGACTGTTTATCGGATTGTGTGTTCACTGATGCTCCAACATACAAGATTTTACATTCAGTTGTCAGCCAACAGCAGCCTTTCAAATACAGCAAATAAACAAATAAAGGTGATAATAAACAAAAGTCTACCTGGATGGTAAGAAATCAGTCTTATCTTGCCTGAAAATGCTTCACAGAAATGTAAATGCACACCTGTTTTGCACCTAATGATCTGAAACATGCATTCTTAAATTAAGGCCAGTGCCATTAATGTTGAGACTGTGTTAAAATACACAAACTGTACCTGAAGACAAAGGTTCCCGCTGTGCCGTGTCCAAGCACCTCCGTTGGAGTGAAGGAGATTTTACCCACCTGCACCTCCTCACTGTTTCCTTCTGAGAGAGGCAGAAAGGAAATTAATCTCATCTTAATGGTGAGAGACACACAGAAACACTATGTATAAACACACACACAGTTTGGTGTGTTACCTGCTGTGGGTTTGAGCCCAGCGGTGCCATTTATATCTAAGGTGCCGCTGCTGTGAGTGTGAGGACTGGGAGGAGGGCTAGCAGATGCTGACTGAGAGTCTGGATATAGAAAAGTGAAGATATACAGTAAGTATGTGCTACATGCAAGTAAGTAAGTAGCTTTTTCTGTTTCAATTTAATGAAGGAATGAATAATATATTTAAGATTTCTAGGCTTTGAGAAAAATACAGGGAATACGGCATAATAGAGAACTGGATTTATAAGTTACTTACCACTAGAGAGGTTTGTGTCAGTAGAAAGGGTTGTGTCTGAAGAGATCAGAGTTGCTGTCTGGGTGTTTATCTGGGTGTTTATCTGCGTGTTTATTGCCGCGTTGGCCTGCGTGTTGGTCTGCATGTTTGTCTGCATGCGCTGGAGACGAGACTCAAAAGCCTCCTCCAGCTGCCTCTGAGCTTTCAGCTGCTGGGCTGCACGCTGGAGAGACACACACATTTATATACAGATCACACTACATGCAGTTTCAAGATTGAGTTTGAGAGATCAGCACTGAAAAATACTGAAGAGGGTGAATATATAAGAAAGAGATCATAAAACTCTCCTTTGCAACAATAAAAACAAAGCAAATACCATTCAGCCCAAATGTTCATGTATTAATATGCAAATGCATGCAGGCAGGTGCCCCAGATTCTAACTAGATCATTGAGTCTGTGGAGCTTTGGTGTAAATATGATGTGTCTATCATGTATCGTTATTAGCCCCCCATGATGACTTAATGTCCTGTTCATGATGTGTAACATGGCAGCAGGATTGGTGAATTTTGCATTTCAGGGTTTATTTCATTTTTGTTTTCTTTTATCCCTGTTAATAAAAGGTCAACTACATAACATAGAGCTATTTCAATTATCTGGCGAGGACTCCATTAGAAAACATATTTGTAAGGGTTTCTACTTCAAGGGATTCACTGAGAGCAGCCTCAATAAATCAAATTTAAATGCAACCACAGAAGATGTATTTTAGTTAGTTTTCCCATTTTTCTAAGATAAAGAAAACACACAATTCCTATATTCAGGTGATTAAACACTAATGAAAACATACGTATAAATATTATATTGTATTTCTGCCAATAGATCTTCCTAAATGTTAACCACTGGGCCTTTAAAAACTAAAGTTATGAATATATTGTGTGTACCATTCAGGTCTAACAAATGAAAAATGTTTGCAAAGCTGATTTTCTTTAAAAATCCAGCATTGTTTACATCCATGTTTACTAGCTATCAGTCTTCTTCTTCTTCTTCTTCCTTGTCTTTGCTGGTGCACTGCAGCATATCTCGTTACTGGAAGAGTTCACAGAAAACCTTTAATCTCTTACTTGTACTACCGCTTTTGTTTGCTCTACAAAGATGAAATGTGTATACACGTTCCTTAGGGGTTCATTAAAATTTTAGCACATGACAGAACCTGCTATATAAGTATGTGAGGCAAGGAAGAGATGAACATTTCTATCACAAAATAACTCTTTGGATACAATGACAATTATAGATCAAAGGTACATAATCGCTTGAGAGTATCTTAGAGTGGATATATTTCCCCTTACACTCTCCTGCAGGTATTCAATTTGTCACCATTTGTTCCCATCTTTGAGAATAAAACCTGAAAAACTACATCTTAACAACAGATAGACATAAGATTCACTCACAACGGGGTACGTGAGCGCGAAGGCCAGCCATCCCCCCAGCAGCAGCGTCAGAACAGCCAGAGTAAGACGATCCTGAGTCATATAGACAGGCAGCACAGCGGCCGGTCTCTGAGTCTGTCCTGATGTCCTCCCATCAACCCCTCCTCTATTAGAATTAGTGTCGCTATGGCCACCAGAAACTGTCTGAAACTGAAGGACACAATAACAATAACAGGGATAAGAAACAATGGAAAATATAATAAGGTTTCACTCGTTTTTTATCTATGTTTGTTGCCACTGTTCTCTGTAAAGCAGTTTACAATGAAAGGGCATTAAGTAGTTTATTACATCAATGCCTTGGTGTCTCAGACAGCTTGAAGTGGGTTATAATGGACAGTAATAGTCTGATAGAAGAGGATCACTGTCTGTTATCATTCTTCTGATTTACTGGCTGCGGTAGTGACACAGATGTAGTTTGGAGCTGTGACTCACGTAGCGCTGGTGGTAGTAGGAGGCAGAGGAGATGGGGGAGGCAGAGGCTCGAGGAGGGATGACTGCCTCACCAGAACGCTGCAGGCTGCCTGGGAAATCTCTCAGCATGGTGGTGTGAGCTACTGGAGGGAGCTCGTGATGACCTAAACCACATAAACACACAGATATAATGCATTCAGAGCTGTATCAGTGTTTGTTTTGGAGTCTTGTCTGGTCACTAAATAAAAGAGATATTTCTGTTTTTTCCTCTTAAGGCAGGCTTCTTGCTTTGAAAAACCTAGACAAGGTCAAATGTTTTCATATTTCATATTTCAGATTTTGATCCACGCTGTTAGAGTAAAAATTCAGTTTTAACTTTTCCTCAGCCAAAGATAAACTCTAGATGCTTTTTTTATGTCTCTTCATACACTTTTAAGAACATAAAGTGACATTTTCCAAGTTTAAATTATTGTGATATTTGTTTCAGCTCAATACTTTGCTTCTCTACTCAAAGACACAAAAAAATGCAACAACAGGAATTAGTTAAAGAAGAATCGCTGCATTTTTCACAACTAATATGTTTTACAAGAAAATACAGAAACTTCCTAAAAGTGCCTGGCATCATAACCAAAAACCAAAAAAGATTTTCATGCTATATCAGAGTATTCTTTTTGAGATGACTAGGCCTTTATATAGGTTTATAGTGGCATATTCTACACTGCCTCCTTCTAAACCTAAATATATAATAATAGTTGTATTAACACTATAAACTGATATAAAATACACAGTAAGTATTCAAAGAGATATTTTTCACATGTTCTATTAGACAAGTAAGAAACAAAGGAGTTACAGCAGCTGTTTCAGCTGTGCACTGGTATGGAAGTTAAAACCAGTACAGCAATTAATCTGGTTTATTGCCCAGCAGTATTTGATAATTACTCTATGATTTGTAAATACTACTTACAGAATATTTTTATTAGTTTGCTTTGGCTGGAGCCACATGTAACCAGGAAACTTGTAAATAGTGAAATATACTTGTTTATTAAAACATAAATTTCAGTTTGGTTAGACCTACTTCCCCAGCTTTAGAGAAGTTTATGTTTTCATTGCTATTGGATGACATCCAGTAATGAGGACATGGTGGTTGTATATTCTGTGTTTGTGTGTGTGTGTGTGTGTGTGTGTGTGTGTGTGTGTGTGTGTTTACCTATTAGCAGCCAGTGGTTTTTCTGGCTGTTTGAGCTCCCTGGTGGATAGCGCACATCAGTGGACGGTGTGATCTCACACGCCCCTCGCTCTCTGACCGTCACCCCAGCCGTCACTGGACCCTCAATCCGAGCTAGGGTCAGTCCACGAGGCTGCCATGGCAACAAGAAGCACAAACCAGTCACGTGACAGCTATCCTGTTATCACCTCGATCTATTGATATACTGTATGTAACTATTAGTGTTCTGTTAGAGCGGGAGAGAGAATCGTGACCTGGATGTGTGAGGAAACTCGGTGTGTGGGTGCAGTTATATCATAAAAATAGATTATATATTTAAACTCACCACTAATGAGACTCCATGGTGGACGAGGGAGGTGGAGGCATAGAGGTGGGAGTCCAATTTTCCTACATAGAGAGTTGGTCTAGAAGAGAAAAAGTCAGGTTATTCCCTCAGCAAATAAAGTTATCTGACTATAAACTGATTAATATTATTAAATTATTTTTTATTAAATCGAATGGATCAACTGGTCATGGGACAAGAAATAGTTGATTAGATTTGGGGGTTTTCAACAGTATAGCAAAAAATAAGAATTGGATAGATTTCCAGTTTTCATTAACACAACAAATACTTATTTCTGATTGGTTGGCAGATATTCCTTAAAAAATATAACCAGACACCTCAAACGCAGTTCCAGCTGCAGTTTAACACCCACAGTAAATCAGTGCACCAGGTAATGTGTATCAGATTGCAGTACTAGTATTTCATGCTGCTTATCAGCTAGCTCTCAGAGGAGAAACAGACCTCCAGGAAAGGTTTTAAGTGACGTTTTTAACAAAGTTTATCTTATTTGCCTTTAGTAAGTGGATCAGCCTGTGTAATAATATAACCTGAGGTGTCCTGAGAGAGAAAATAACAGACTCAGCAGCTCTTGTTCTGCCATTAAGTATGTATGTCAGTAGCCCTCATAGTCTATTATCACCCACTTAAATTTAAAGTGACAAGAACATTAGTTGGTTATAGGCGCAAATTGGATAATTATTGGATAAGCCTTCTCGTTACCACTTTAATAAATCACACTGTGTGTAAATATATACACAGTATATGTATGTATGATTATATACAGTTTCTCTTACACAAGTTGAGCCTGTGCGCTGGCTTGCTCCTTCACAAACTGATAGCTCCATTTCAGTGTAGAGTGTGCGTCTGCCTGGTCGTTGGCAGAGGAGAAGGTGAGGAAGCGAAGCGTTTCCATGGCGAGGGACAGGTGGGGGGCGTGTCTTAGCGAGTCACCAGAGTACAGGTAGACCCCTATGACGGGCGAGCCATAGTTCTGACTCCACAAGACGTCACCTGGAAGAGACAAAAGACAAAACAACCTCACTAGGGGGTAGAGATGGAATTAAAGGGACACATCAACCCTCTCACACATATAAGGGTAATAAAATATCCACATAGTAAAAACCACACACCTCTCCCTACCTGTCTCTCTGTCAACTGTCACCACGAGACCGTCACCGCTCGACACAAGATGGGCCATTTCTGGAAGCACAACAGGTAGGACAGGTCAGTTTCGGATGAGTCTGAATGTGACATCTTTGTTGTAGTTGTTTCACACTTTCTTTCAGGTGTCAAATATCAGCTGGAGTCCTCTTTTATTTCATTGTTCGATCTTGAACCACTTTATCTGGTTGTTTTAAATATAAATATTAAACTAGAGAGCACTCAGAGAACACATACCTCCACCGCGGTTGCACTACAAAACGTGGAGTTTTAATATTTTTTGATGTTCATCTATACCTGGTACAAAATATGTATCAGAATACAAAATGACAGACAGTTACAATAAATGTGCCAGATTCATTTTCATGCAAGTATAGGTGCAGTAGTTCATAAACAAGTAGGAATAATGTTGAAAAATGTTCTCACAATGTTGAAAAATCTTCTTTTTTTAAAAATTCCTGGATTCAGATCTGCATCAAAATATTAATGACTTGTTCTTTGACTCTCACACTGTAACTTTTACTTTATTTTACTAGACAAACAAACTGGAAAACAACTCCTTGTAAACAACTAAACGTTAGAGGGTGAAAGTCCATTCTTGACCTCGAAAATATTATTAGTTTTGCATTGAGTCAAATGTTATATTTAATGAAGTGACTATAAGTGAAGAGACTCTATAACAGGCAAATGTTTCATTCTATATAGTAGTAATGTACTTAATGTACAATAATAATGTTCTGCAAGGCTGTCATTAGGTTAAATGTACACTTGAGTAATTCAGCTAATTACCTGCTGTGTCAGTGTGATGTGAATATGTGTGCAGGGATGTGTGTGTGTGTGTGTGTGTGTGTGTGTGTGTGTGTGTGTGAGAGAGAGAGAGAGACGTACTGTAGTCTTGTTTCTCATCGTAAGGTGGAGCTGAGTAATCGTTGTACGTAGCGTTCCACCGCAGCTCCTGTGTCTTAGTATCAAACATGGTAACCATGTATTCTGCAAAACACAAACAGGTAAATGTTCATAAACAGTAAGCAAAGATGCAACGGTGTGTGTGTGTGTGTGTGTGTGTGTGTGTGTGTGTGTGTGACATACCTGTGCGTCCAATGTAAAGCAGAGGAGTGTTGGGGCAGATGGATTCAGAGGAGGAGGTGGTTAAACTGGTTTGCTTCTCACCTGTCTCAGGATCCACCACGAACCACACATCCTGCTTTTTACCTTCATGTGCACACACACACACACACACACACACACACAGAAATATAAGTACAGACACACACAGACACACAAAAATTAGCCTCCAGCATTTATGTATGTGAAATATTTACAGTATTTGTCTCGTCTGCCATTGTCAGTCTCTGACAACTGTCTGGCTCACATACGATGATAAAGTCATAACAGTCATATGTCATTTATTTCTCTGCATATCTCAGTCTCTCTAACACACACACACACACACACACACACACACACACACACACATGTTTTACCTGTATAGAGAATACCATCAGAGCTCCTGCAGGGAGCTGACTGAACCAGCTCTGGGATGGTGAACGGCAGTTTCTGCAGATAAATCCAAACAAATGGGTCATAAACTGAAAACTAACACACACACACACACACACACACACACACACACACACACACACACACAGCCTTCTTTACCATCAGGCCTTCCTTGTGTTTGCCACCCAAGACGTACAAACTGCCATCGTTGGGGTCTGGGAGAAAACCCGGCCTACAAAAACATTAATCATACATGAGTCAACTGATGATTAGATAAGGCTTGTGAGTGTCATCTGACATCTTTCATCATCCAATACTTTTTCCAGTACCTTTCTTTAACTTAATAAATGTGTTGTACAAGTTTTTTCCCTAAATAAAATAATGTTAAACTGGCAAATGCTTGATTTAAACCAGGAACAATCTGAACCAAAAATAAATTAACATGTGTACAAATCTGTTAATTTTGGTACATGACAGTTTTTGATACAGTGCTATGAACACATTACCTAAAACACTGCTCTGTGTGTGTGTGTGTGTGTGTGTGTGTGTGTGTGTGTGTGTGTGTGTGTGTGTGTGTGTGTGTGTTACTCACTCAGTGAGGTAGACTGGTACTTGAATAATGGGGTCTGAAATAAAGATACAAAATTAATTACATGAGAAATATATATAACATATAATTATATAGGAAAACAGTATTGATGTATATGTGTATGAACCTTCTCTTAGGGTCCACTTGATGTCCCCTGACTGTTTGGAGACAGCGTGCAGGTTACCGTCCAGCGTCGAGACAAACAGGAGGGATTCTGGGAGGGTGACGGATCTGACCCCTCCAACCTGATGGGTGGCCAGAAAGAGAGAGAGAGAGAGAGAGAGAGAGAGAGAGACACTTCAGACCAGCTGTCTGACGGGTAGTTCAGTCACCTGTCATGAATCTGAGATTTCAGCATAGCTTGACTACAGCATATGTGTGTGTGTCAGTGGGAGTGGGTGTGTCCGGGTTTGACAGTCCAGCTCTGCAGAAAGTTTCTGCCCTAATAATTATACTGTGTTTCTCATTTACCAGGATATCCTTATTCCCCCAGCACCAAACCACACACACACACTGTGTGTGCTCACCACTCCCATATTTACCCACCAAAGGGTGGCAACAGGACTGAACAGCACTCAAACACACAACATGGCAAACACTGAATCAAGACACACACACACACACACACACACACACACACACACACACACACACACACACACACACAGAGGCAGTATTAACTTTCTTCAGGCAATTTTGGACAAAACGTCCTATCATATCATGGCAACTTTACTCGAGCCTGAAATAGACACAGAAGCGCAGTAGGGTGCCAGTTGCGGCCTCTGCTGCGCATAAATAGCAAGACATACACAGTATTAACAACAACAACAACAACAACCGGAGCAGAAGCAGCAGCGCGCGCCACACACACACACACACACACACACACACACACACACACACACACACACACACACAGTTTTAACGGTACCTGAAATAGTTTGCCTTCCCAGGAGAGCAGGAGAAGAAACAGCAGCAGGCGTCCGAGAGCCCCCATGACCCCCGAAACACTTTCTGTCATGGCTCTGAAACAAAACGGAGGACTGAAGCTATTGAACTAACAACAGAGGTCGAACTCTCTCTCCATTTCCAGCTCGGGCGTCCATCTGTCAGAAAGTTAGCAGCGGCCGTTTGAACATCGCGAAGAAGCTACGACAGGACGAACAAAGTGGGAAAAAACAAAAACAAAATGTAAGCCGAGTTAGTACCGCTTTTAATCCATAATAATAACAACAACAGCGGCGGCGGAGGGTTCTTGTCACTGTTCCATATTTCCGTGTTGGGACGGAACCGGTGACGTCAGGAGCAAACTGTCAAGCGGAGGGGGGAGGTGGGCGGGGCTTAACCGTCGCTCCTCGCGCTGAGTGACGCTCTTAGCCAATGGGTGGAGAGATGTGGAGGAGAAGGGGGCGGGGCTGTGGAAATGGCTGGAACACGTGGAAACAGACAGCAGGGCAGTTGTGAACGCAACAAGAGGGTTTTTCTTTTTTCTTTTTTTCTTTTTGTGCAATAGAAAGTAGTGGAGGGCCTTATTGTTTGTCCTCTCCACACACACACACACACACACACACACACACACACACACACACACACACACATCCAACCAACATCAGTGGTGGACACTAGTCTGACTTTTTCTTATTTCTGTTATGCTGTTGTTGCTGTTTTAGCTTTTTACTTCAAATGAGAAATAATGTACTTTATTCTGCTTCTTTTTATTTGGCATTGCAGGTGGAATGAATGTATAAAATATAACAATATATTAAGTTTGTATCTAGTAGGCCTTTACTGTTTTGACACATGGGAACAGAGCTATGTGTTTGCTTATACTTTCCTTTTAATTTCATTTGCCTCTTTATGTAATGTAGACCTACGTGGTGCCTGGTATAAAAATTCTGCATGTTAAGTACTTTTACTTTTGATACTTAAGTACCTTTTGGGGTTATCCAGTTGAGTACAGTATTGCACTTTCATAAAGATGCTCACAAAAGACAAAATCAAAGCAGTTGAGGTCAAATAAGTCCTGACTTTAAGCCTCCGTATGGGTGACGCTCCAAAAATGTTGGATCTTACGTTTCCCATAATGCCGCACTAGCATCTTTCTGTTAGACCCATCCCACCCACGTATTTGAAACTAAAAATGGGTGACACTTTAATAGTCTGAGCTCCACCGTGAACCCAGAAATGTTGACTACCACAATGTTTTATGTTAGAAATGCAGAGTGTTGGTCCCCAGCTTTTAGAAACTGCTGCATGGAAACTTGCTGTTGTACACTTTGCATAATTAGCATTTATTAGCATAATCACTTATAAGGACAATATTTTTGCTACGGCTTGGCAGATTTGGATAATACTGAGAAAAAAACACCACCACAAACCAAATGTGTTCAATCGATTCACGTAATTTTCATTCTCATCAACATATTTAATGACACCGTGTGTCCTATGAAAATCCTTAATTTTGTCACGTTTCTCCACTCATTCATTCAGGATTTTCTTTTAATTTATCCCCAGTTTGTTTAACTTTAACCTAAAATCATCTATCTCTTCAGATACATTATTATCCCTTATATCAACTATATTACCAGTGAATGTAAGGAGTTTGTTGTGCAATAAGCGACAGAAGACATTATACATCTTTTTTCAAAGGCTGAGTCGTACTCGGACTATTAAACTAAAATCTGTAATTCCAATGAAACATTTAATGGAGAACTTTTACCTACTTTTACATTGTATTGCTACTTTTACTTAAACCTACTACAGTTTGTTTTCAACTGGTTATGAAACAGTCTAAATATAAAACTGTTGCCCCTACTGTATAACCTACATAAACGAACAATCAAAAAGAACATTGGCTGTTTCTATATAGTTGTTCTTAAAGCCACTGGGTCGGATTCTGTTGGATTCCCCTTGAAATCAATGAAACCATTGATTTTACCAGGTGGTAGAAGTATCACCGCTTTTGTCCACAGGGACAACCAGAATCAACAAAAAATTAAAGTTCCTTGTTGCTGCTTTAAGTATAAGATGTGAATACTTCTTACACATACACAGTAAAATTAGAAAGTCACACATTTACAAAAAAACTTTATTTATCTGCGGCATATTTCCTGTGAGAAATGTCAGCCAACAGTTAGTCCCAGTCCTTTCCCTATAACTTACTGTACCAAAATACAATTCACAAATTACTATTCAAAGTGCCTTTGCATGAGGAAAATAGACTGGGATAACATAGCTCGTAAGCGGGTGTGCTTCAGATATGAAATGACGAAAATGAAATAATACTGGCAGGCACTTCTGTCATCTGAGGTATGCACAAAACAAATGAAACAAACAGCATTATAGATTGTTTTTTTAAAGGCATATGCTGGCTGTGCGTAGGTAGGTGAGGTATGGGCTCTACACACAGTGCAGTGCCCAGGCCTTTGGCTCGGTAGGGGTCTACTAGTGGAGCACGCTGTCAGGCTTGGGATACCCAAACAGCTCAAAGTCTGGTTCGTACAGCTTGTACAGTTCTCTCCGCATTGTTATAGGAATCTGTGTGAACCAGTCTCTTTCCCAGCTGGTTGCAGTGCGGTTTCGGGCCCCTGAAGGGAAGCGTAGCAGATGATCCACCTGCAGAAGCTTCAGCAGGTGCTCCGCATCTGTTTCCAGGGTTTCTAGTTGTCCAATGAAGTCATACTTCACCTGGCATGGATGGCACAGACGGTACACCTGAAACACACAAAAAGCATTTTTTTTTAAATAATTTGTTTGTGTGTACATTGTGTGTACAGGTCACACAACCACATGTTTTTGGCTACTTCCTCAAAAATCATTATAAATAGAAGAGGTAGAAAATAAACAGCCCGACAGAATTAAAATTAAAGAAAGAAGATAATATTTATTTCTGAGTTGAGACATATAATGCCAAGAGAATTAAGTTGTCTACTTGCTAAAGTTTGTCCCAGCATGCAAACTCAAATTAGATTTAGATTTTTGTGTGAGGAATTGATGGAGTTGCAGTTGTCTCACAGTACAACACAGACAAAAAAAAGTAAGAGCTGCTGCGATGGCTGACAACAGCTGACAAAACAAATTAAGAAATAGATCAGTAGAAATACAATTTTATTTTCTTGTTGTAAATTAGTGTTCCACAGTGTGCTGTCTTCCTTATATCGGTTCTCATTACAACAAAATGAGACAGTAATTTCTTGTATAGCAACTGTCAAAATAGTGCAATGTCAACATTAGTTCAACACATATACTTCATAGAATTAATGTAGTATATAATATAAAATTGGGACACATACAAAGTGCAAATGGCAGGAACAATTGTAGATAATGACAAGAAGTTCATATTATACTGGTATGGTCTTTTAAAAACTGACATGGAACTGACAACAGAACGGGTAAGTATGCATATAGTGATCTCAAACTGCGTGACGTGTAGCCTTACACTGCTTGTGTGCTTGTATCTGTGTGAAACAAATACCTGCCGCCAGTGTTCATTGAAGATACTCTCCTTCTCGGTCTCCGGATCCAGCAAGTATGTGATAAACTGCTGAAACGTCGGTTTCACTCCTGCTGCAAACGCCTCAGCCGCCGTCTCTGGCAAACTGCCAGACACATTACCATAACGACGCACCATGACTGAACCAAACTGCCTGTAGAAGTCCTCGTTGGGCCTTAAGACGCACACAAATACACACATTTTAATAAGTCAAGAATGAAAGGACTGCTGTTTAATCAAAAGTGAAGCACATTCCTCAACCTCGCCCTCCACGCAGGGACACACACACACACACACACACACACACACACACACACACACACACACACACTCACACACTCACTCCCTGACTACCCAGCCACTAATATACACCTTCCAAACTTGTTCCTGAAGGCTGAGATGAGACGAACAAAAGGGTCTCGCACGAACAGAAACTTGGTGTAGTGCTGGAGCTTGAGTGCCATCAGGTGGCGGGACAGAGAACCATAATGCCGCCAAAACCTGGTAAAAGACAAACATGAGAGCCATGAGAGCAGATCTTCGGTGTCTTCCTTCTTCAGTTGTGACTGTAATGACAGATCAGTCCTTAAAGGGAAAAAGATGTGTCTTGTACAACAGTGCAGACAGAGAGACTTGTTTAGATACTAATATCTGAACACAGACAGCTCCCGTGGGGTAGAGAAAGGTCTGTCTGTGCTGCAGCGCCAAGCTCCGCCTGACGTTTCCACTCTCCTCTCCTCCAAGTGTCAACTCAGTAAATAACTCTTTTAGCTCATGGATGGTTTGTAAAAGAGTTTCAGTATAACTGGGTATCTAAGTGTTATAGTAAAACTGTGTGAAAAAGGAAAACCGCCTAACATTATTATTCATTATTAATGTACCTTTGAGAAGGACTGTAGACAGAGACAATACATTGTTACATAGAGAAATTATATATTAATTTACAAACCCAGTTTCCTTATAGGTCCAGTGTGTAGGATTTATTGGCATCTAGTGTTGTACTTGCAGATCATAACTGTCGCTTCACCCTCCCCTTCCAGGCGTGAAGGAGAAACAAGGGTGGTTGCGAAATGTAAGTTGTGTTTGGTTTGGTTTCTGGGCTACTGTAAAAACATGATGGTTCGACATGGCAGACTTCATGAAAGGCGACCTACGACATCTGTAGATAAAAGCGGCTCATTCTAAGCCAACAAAACATAACGATTCTTATTTTCAGGTGATTATACACTAATGAAAACATACCCTCTACATATTATATTCCAATGGATCATCCTAAATGTTACACACTGGACCTTTAAAAAATAATCATTGTAACATTTTCTGTAATTCTTTAAATTCTTACACCACAACCTTTAAAAATAGGTTTAGTAGGCTATTTGGAAAGAAAATGCCCTTTGCTTTGGTCAAACTTTCTTTTCAGAAGTGAAAAGTTGTCTTCTGGCTTCACCCTGATTTATTGGTTTATTTTCCTCTGTTGTCACTGTGGGATTGAGGTACGTGGTTTGTTTGGCTGCACCACTCTTCCCTTGTTTGGATCCATTTTTCATTCTCTTTGTTTTCCATCTTGACTTGTTAGAAAGTTTTTTTACTGAGTTGTTAAAACATTTTTAGAGGGGGCTAATCTGTGTAGGGCTACATGTTTTCTTATTTTTCTTTTCCAAGTTTGTAGAATTTTATATTCTTGCAGTACTATTCAATATGATGTTGTGGAGGCATATTCTTTGTGTGTAGCCAACAGCGATGGTGACTAGACAAGTTGTAATATGCATAACTACATTTTAATTTTCAGTCATGTATAATCACCTGAAAATGTG